CCACAACTGTTTTATCTCTGTTCTTACTCATTTTTTTCCTTATAAAATATATACTTTTACAATCTCCATTGCCCCATTTTGAAATTTTAATTCTTCCAATTTGGGATGTACATGTATTTTTCCTTTTGCTTTATACTCTGAGAGATTTCTCCCCTTTTCTTTTCTTTTTTTTTTTTTTTCAACGTTTATTTATTTTTGGGACAGAGAGAGACAGAGCATGAATGGGGGAGGGGCAGAGAGAGAGGGAGACACAGAATCGGAAACAGGCTCCAGGCTCTGAGCCATCAACCCAGAGCCCGACGCGGGGCTCGAACTCACGGACCGCGAGATCGTGACCTGGCTGAAGTCGGACGCTTAACCGACTGCACCACCCAGGCGCCCCATCTCCCCTTTTATTTTCAAGAATGCCTAATGAATTTGTTGTACTGGCAAAAATATCTGGGGGCGTCTGGGTGGCTCAGTCGGTTGAGCAGCTGACTTCAGCTCAGGTCATGATTTCGCGGTTTTTGAGTTCGGGCCTGCATCGGGCTCTGTGCTGACAGCTTAGAGCCCGGAGCCTGCTTCGAATTCTGTCTCCCTCTCTCTCTGCCCCTCCCCTGCTAATACTCTGCCTCTCTCTGTCTCTCAAAAATAAATAAACGTTAAAAATATCTGTACTCTCTAGGATGTTTTTACTGTTTTTGTTCTCTTTTCATGGTAGCTTCTTCCTGCTTTAAGTATGTTATTTTTTCAATTTTTATTTCTTCTTAACTAGCTTTTTCATCTCTATCTATCTATACTTAAATCTTTTAATTATTTTGGTTTCTGAAGGAACAGATTATCAATGCTATTATTTGATGTTAAGTTGTCCATTCCTTGCATTTCTAGCAAGTTCTGCACTATTTGTAGGTTCCATACTCTGCAGAGTTTTTGAAAGCTCAGTGAAAAAGAGAAATTGGTGGGTCACTGACCACTTTATGGTTCCCATGATCCTCTGTTTCTTCTTGCTTTTGTTTTTAAAACATTCGTTTTCCGAGCAGCCGAGATGACTATATTAGTTAGGGCCTGCATTTTGCCACAAAAAACAAAATCCACTCAAGAGTAACATAAACATATTACAGTTTTGTTTTCTTTTTTTCCCCTCATGTACCAGATCCTGGTTCAGTGGCTTGGGACTGACAGGATCAAGGTGTCTGATATCTTGTGGCCTTTCCTAATTGGAAACAGACCATGTTGGTTTCTAAGAGGGAGGGGAAGACGAGACAAGGAAGGTGTAACACAGAGCAGAAAGCAAAGCTTGACGGAAAGGCCCTGAAGACATCTGCTTTCATCTCATTGGCCTTTGAAAACATTCGTTTCCCAGCAGCCCTATAGCTAGAGGTGATCATGTGACACCATGACTATAGCAGATGCTGTCAGCTCCTGTCTATTGCCCACTCTTCTTTCTTACCAATAAGCCTTGGATTATTGCTTAGTCTAGGTGTTGTTTGTTTGTTTGTTTGTTTTTTCTGATAGACTTTTGGGGCATTTAGGGGACGCCATGAATTACCTTACTTTAAACCCCCCTAGACTTGAGCACACAGACTGTTCACAGTTCTTGGAATTTGCTTGGCTGCCAGTCAAGAACTTAGTAAAATATAAATACTACTTTTTGAATACTTACCATATGCTAAGCATTTTTCCAAATGCTTTACATATATTAACACATTTTATCCCGCAACTGCCTTGTGAGATAGATCCTATTATGATACCCACTTAACTGATGAGGAAATTAAGGCACGTGGTGGTTAAGTAACTTGCCCAAAGCCACACAGCCAGGGACAAATGCAAGAAACTGGGATTTGAAGGCAGGCAGGCTGATTTTTGAGCTTGTACTCTACTCAACTGTATCAGTAAGCCATAAGTGACTTTCACCGTCGAGTCTTAATTATGTGATGAGAAGGGATAACAAGCAGAAAAAAAAAATACACAACTATTTGAAGCCTATACTTTAAAAGGAAAGATGACAGATGTTTGAAGCCAGGGAGTTAAGGAAATCTTTGTGCTGAAGACTGTGTATGCCTCATTTCTCGTCAGTGTAGATGAGGTTAAAAACATAACCATCTTCTTCCTCATTCATTCTGTGTTTGTGGAAACTTCATTGTGATCAAAGCTGTCTTGGGGCAAAGTGTGAGCTCTGCTGTAAACGGAGCTTCTGTAAGGAACACTGCCTTTCCTCACCAGCCCAGGGCTGTTGACATGGTGCCTGGGGAGTGTTGTTTGATTCTCCTTTGAAGAAATATGTTCCTCATGCAATCGCCATAGCATGGCCTGGTGAGAAGACAGAATGTAAAAGGACCCGGTTTCAAGCTCGCTGGAAATTGTGAGATCTCAGTTTCTACAGACTCTGTGTCGACCCAGATATGCTTTGTTTGCAGACAAAATGGTGCTGGCTTCTTCTCACAAAGGAGACATCTTTGGTCTTTTCACAGAACCAAGGTGGCAACTCCAGAAGACTAGTTTACCTTCATTTGAGATCTGGGGAGACTCTCCAGGGCAACTCTTCTCCATATTTAGCAATTTGGATGATCTCCTTCTTTTGGCCTCTCTATCTCAACACCTCTGTGTTGCAGATGAGGAAAGAATCAGAAGGTCAAGCATCTGTAGTTAATTGCTTTGGGCCAGAGTGATACATCATTTCCATTCACATTTCTTTGGTAGGAACTAGCTGTATGGTCAACATCACTTCAAGGAATAGAACTTATACTCCTCTGCATAAGTGAAAGTAGGAGAGAACTAGACATTGATGAACAGTAGCTGCATTGAACATATAGACCAAAGCTCTCTTCATTAGGTTAAGATTTCATCTGGCTAACTTCTGAGCATCTATCTTTAGGCTACCCAGATTCACAGTTATGGAGTGTTGGCGAGGAAGGAACTTGAAGGCCACTAGTTCAATTAATTCTAAGTCAGGATCCTTGGCATCAATCCTAACAAATCAATCCTAACAAATCCAAACATCAAACTTCTCTTTTGCCACTTCCAGTGCTGGAGTCTCACCATCTCATGAACTGGGAAAACTCCATGCTTAGAGAGCTCATTGGAAAATTATTCCTTGTTCTGCACCTATCCTTTTTCTGGCACAACCAGTTCCCAGAATTAGTTCTCTACCTTAAATGGAGCTGGTTTTGTCCATTGCTCCTCCCCCATGACCCTTCCAATGCCTGAGGTCATCAATATGTCTCCTTCCAATCTAGGTTACATACATTCAGTTTCCTACTCCATCCCAACGTGACCTGCATCTTTTCACTGTCCTGTTCCCACTCTATGTATCGCCTCCCTTTAGCGTGGAGCTCAGAAGCAAGCACCATTTCTCTATAGTCTGACCGCTGCCAAATAAAAGGTTATCACTACTCCATTCTGGTTTCTGCACAATTCTGGCAATGCCACCTCAGATAACACTACTTTCCCAATAGCCATGTCACACACTGGGCTTATAGTCCATTCAGACCTATTGGGAATTGACACCTAAGACTTAGCCCTCTTCCCTCACAGAGTTCTGTCCAATGGTGTATAGACAAAAACTGATGAAAATAAAAGTGAAAACTCTTTATTAGTGGCTGGGCATGCATCCCAAGATCTAAGGCAGGCTTCCCTGATCTAAACTGGAACAGAGACCTTGTTTTAGTTCGCCAAGGCTCCATCCTATATTGAAGACAACTGGGAAACAGTGTAAGTCTGACTTAACTCATCCATTTTAGGGTAAAGAAGCTAGAATGCACATAGGTGTGCACACACATACACACACACACACACAGCAAGGTGCCCTGATATGCTTACAGAAGACAAATCTTGGGCCCTGACCATCTATATTTAGATAGGAGAGAAGGAGGAAGAGAGATTTCTGGCCATGACGCAGGGAGCCCAAAATAATGGGTAAAATAGACAAAGTGGCCCTGTCCAATAGTTAAAGGCTCTCAGTGAATGCACTTGATTTCATCTTGGTTTCAGATCTTTCCTCTATTTAATAGGATCGTTTTGGATCATGAGCTGATGATCCATCAGAGTAACTACCCCGATGGGTTTTGCATTATATGCTTCCATGTCATGTAATGCAAGGGGGTAAAATAGTCCTTACATATGTTCTGATAAAACTTAAATCAACAGAGAAATAAATACACTGTTATGCAAATCAAGTTGGTCTGTCATGGCTTGTTCTTGGTGAACCCATGCTGACTCACCTTCCTTCCCAGGTATGTCACCTTCTTCTATTTAATAGTTCCATTTAGAAACTTCCTAAAAAGCAGTGTCTTATCTTTCAGAACCTATTATTTTCTTCGTTGTGAGCACCAGAACATACACCCACCCACTTCTTCACTAGACTTAATAGACTCTTTAACCTTTAAGGGGTTCTGGGGTGCCTGGGTGACTCAGTTGGTCGAGCGACTGACTTCAGCTCAGGTCATGATCTCACGTTTCGTGAGTTCAAGCCCGCGTCGGGCTCTGTGCTGACAGCTCAGAGCCTGGAGCTGCTTCGGATTCTGCATCTCCCTCTCTCTCTGCCCCTCCCCCGCTCATGCTCTGTCTCACTCTGACTCAGAAATAAATAAACATTAAAAAAAATTTAAACTTTAAAGGGTTCCTTGTGCAGATTAGCAATATATTATATATATTAACAGTCAACATTTTCTCTAAATATACATCTAAAATAATCCTTCATAATTATGAATGTGATTGAAATATGAACGAAAAATTTCCCAATATGGATACATTATTAAAAGCCTATTTAATCGAACTTCCCAAATAGTTAATTAAAAGTACAAGTCAAATATATAAGATTCTCTTTGATGTCTTAAATGCTTTGTAGTGGAGGCTTATAACAGTTGTCCATATCTGAATTCTCTCTTCCTGTGTGCAAGGACCTTGCAGTTTGGCATGAAACTTTGGCCAATTCTGGCTGATGGGACAAGAATAGAAATTAAATGCACCTCTTCTGGGCTAAAACACTGACTTGCCAGAAGAAAACTCTTCAATGCCCTCTTGCCCTAACTCAGTGTGTTAGTTGTTTATCACTACATAACAAACTACCTCCAACACTTAGTGGCTTAATATAGTAAATATTTATTATCCCACAGTTTCTGTGGGTCAAGAACTCAGAAACAGCTTAGCTGGGTAGTTTGGGCTCAGAGCCTCTCCTGAACTGAGAGTCATGATGGTGGCCAGGGCTGTGGTCACCTGAAAGCTTGACTAAGGCTGGAGGATCTGCTCATGTGATGGTTCACTTACATGATTATTGGCATGAGGCCTCAGTTTCTCTCTGACTGTTGGAAAAAGGCTTTAGTTTCTTGCCATTTGCGCTTTTCCATAGGATTGCTTGAAGGTTCTCATAACATGGCAACTGGCTTTTTAGAGGATGAGTGATCCTAGACAGAAGAAGGAGGAAGTCACAATGCCTCTTATGATCTGGTCTCAGAAACCACGTGTCATTATCACTGCAACACTGTATTAATTAAAATCAAGCCACCCAGTACATTCTGCACTCAAAGGGAGGGAGATTAGTCTTTACTTTTTGAAAGGGAAGTGTACATTAATTTGTGGTCACATTTTAAAACCACCACACTCACTGCATGTTCCAGGTGAGGTAACTAACTATAAGGCCGTGGAGCCTCTATCAGTCTGGGTCCCTGGGTGACTTACTGGAACAGAGAGCCCTTTGATGAACCAAGATGTACATGGAACATGAGATAAAGTCATTGGGATGTCGAGATTATTTGCAGTTACAGCATAACCTAGGCTGTCCTGACTAGTAGTCATTTAAAATGTAAACATTAACACGGGTGCCTGGGTGGTTCAGTCAGTTGAGCATCCAACTTTTTATTTCACCTTGGGTCATGATCCCAGGGTCATGGGATCAAGTTCTGTCTCTGTGCTGAGCGTGGAGTCTTCTTACGTTTCTCTCTCTCTCCCTCTGCCCCTCTCCCTCACTTGCTCACTCTCTCTCTCTCATATACATATATATATACACATAATGTATATATATCTCATGTATGT